AAATAGTCTCTGTTTTGAAACATAGTTATTCCTGTTTAAAATATAAAATAATTATAATATATATGTGTGTGTGTGTGTGTTTGTGTGTGTGTGCGTGTGCATGTATTGTGTATATTTAGGCAGCATATTTTCATACACACACACACACACACACACATATATATATATATATATATATATATATATATATATATATACCCCGACATCAGAATTTCATTGACAGACCTTTCAGGAACCACTTCGTTTACTCGTCAGGAGGTATCAGCAAATGACAGCTTATATTTCTCGATTTTTATGGGCACATTTAATTGCTGCAATTTTTTTTTCATGGCGTGTTCGTCCATCTACGCGGATGTGCGTACGTGTAGAATGTTGTGGTTATTTGTCCTTGTCGTTTTTTTTTGTTTTTGTTTTTTTTTTCACTTTACACACACTCCTTAACCTTTTCTCTTTTTTTCTGTCTTTTCTTTCAATTCTAGCCATTTTGACGCCCGGTTTTCAAGACATACTGGCGTTGATAATTCTTGAATGTTCTCGTTTTCTATTGTGTTAGAAAGATTATTTAATTTTTGACATAAATAACTAATCTTAATGCTTAATGCATGAAAAATAAAATAATTTGCTGAAGTGGACTAACCACTTTTATGATGGATATTAAAATCACAGCAGATATGAAAGTTGCCCGAGGGGAAATGAGTGAGGACATTATCAATCGTCTCAGATATTCGGTCGAAGATTACCGTCCCTTCGTCATGAGGACGGCAGAGAGCAAAGACGAACGTGGTACTATGGATAATTACCACGCGGCATCACATATACCAGAGATCGGGTTCATGGTTTATTTCAATCCCTGTCACCGGAAAACTCGTCCTTTATGTGGGCCCTGAGTCTGAGGCAATTTTGGTGATTATGTTTGGCTGTGACCCCCCTCCTAGTGCGTATGAAGCATTGATACAGGTTTCAGAAAGTAACAGGAGGTCTGGTTTAGATTGGAGAAGATGGTGTTCCACTTCTGGGAAGTTGGAATGTAGATCCCTGACGTTGGTATAGATGTTATACGAGGGGTCTACTTTGTTTGTTTTTTCTTAGACTGGATTTGATTTTTGATTGGCTTCATGTATGCATTGGTTGGTGCAAGACAAAGAGACAGACACGCCCACAAGAGATGTATGTATAAATTCCTTGGGGAAAATCGTCCAGAGTTACAGCCGTAGCAGTACCCTTCATCATGGCATCGAGGGACCCCGCCGTAGACTACTGTACGGACCAGAAACCATTCACAAAATGGCAATACAATAGCCCCAATATTATATACACTTGCTGATAGGATAGCCTCCTTCGGTGTTACTCGAAGGTTCGGCACCCTTATCAGGCGGATAACACCAAAACCTAGAAAACGTTTACCTCCTGAACCCTTAAAGAGGGGAGAATCAACCCAAGAAAGAAAAGATGTATAATTATCCGTGTGGACATGTTGCGGCTACCCAGAAGTCAAGGCAACAGAACTCCTCCTTGGGTCAGAAACATCGTACCTGTCCGAGACCTAAAAACAAAAAGTTTGCTCATGTACTTGAGGACTAAGAGACCCAACGGGAAAAGATGCGGGGGTAACAAGGGTCCCTCGGGGTTGAATGTGCATCTCCTACCCCTATTTGAATTAGTATAGCAGATGGTTAAAAAGTATATATAAGTTTCATTAAAAAAGACAGACAATGTACTACGATTAAGCTTTTTATTCCATTTTTCTTGTGTTCAAACAAGTGTTTTCTTTTCTGGACACAGAGTGGGTAGAAACTGTCCAAATGTTCTGTAATTCCGAGCGCTTTCAGCTATACTTTTAGCCATTATCAAAGATGATTTTATTTTTACTTTTTAATTGCATGTATGGGTTGCGTGTATGTTTCTAGAGTTATAGGGATGTTTTATTTTCCGAACACCATCAGCACATTGTGGCCGCGTTCGTAGTTAATATTATTAAGTATTCGTTCGTTGTAATTTTGACTTTTCTGGTGTGTTGTTATTTTTTTAGGCTAAGATTAGCCCTTTGAAATTTTTTGTAGTAAATAATTAATTCAATTTTTTTATTCGGGTTATAATATTTCTAAGTGAAGATTCATCTTGTTTATAGTTAATGTGCATTTGGTTTTTGTAGGAAATATTTATGTAATTTCTGAGTGTATGGTCACTATCGTTTTTAATGAAACATGCATAAATAAAGGATTGCTGCCTAAATATACAATTATATATATAAGCATACACACACACACACACACATATATATATATATATATATATATATATATATATATATATATATATATATATATATATATATATGAATAAAAATGACAAAACAGAATGTTCCTAGCAACTGGAATGTAGAGAAGCGATATTTACATTCTGTTTTTGTTTTTATTAGTTACTTCGTTCATTTAATTTCATTTTCGTATTTTGCTTTGATAAAGTCCAAATTGGACGAAACGCGTCAGCAATTACCAGT